TGCTGGGTAAGTCACTTCACTGCTCTGTACCTCAGTTTCTCCATCTGTAAAATGGGAATAATGATACTGAATTCCTTTGTAAAGTGCTTTGAGAGCTACCAGTAAAAAACATTCAATAAGAGCTGTCTATTATTAATATAATTATATGCACTATATAAAAAGCCTGATTCTCTTCTGCCCCGGTATTGTCAATGCTCATGACTTCTTCACACGTTGCAGGATTTTAGCCGGGGCTGGAACCTTTCTGGTGATGATGTGAGAATCTCCAGCGCTCTTGGGACTTTCAGCCTGGCTTCTGATTGGCTGTGTTTCCCACTAGCTCCGGTCTTGGGGAAGAATGGCCAATCAAGGCTGCTGCAGGAAGCAGTCAGAGATCTCTGCCCCTTAGTTGCCAACACCACTGTCCCAGGAGTGGAGGAGAGAGGAGCTCAGAGAGGCTCCATTCCCTCCTCCACTCCCTGCAACACCAGTCCCTGGGAGAGGGGAGGGGAAGAGTCACAGCAGCTTCAGGAGGAGCTGCAGTGAAGGAAGGAGGGGCAGAAATGATGGGGACACAGGGGGAAGAGAAGAGTTGATCTGGAGAGCGGATTGATTTGGGGACAGGGTGCAGAATTATTTTCAGAGTATGGGATGGACTGTGGAGGGGCACAATCACCTTACACAATAAATATGGAAGTGTTGGCAACACTATCTCACAAACACACTGGGTGGACAGGGGAGTTCAAAAAAACTACAGTAGAATCTTCTAAAAAAAATCTCATGATGTTTTGGGATCCACATGATTTGTGGATCTTTGGGGATGGGCAATATTGCAACCTTGCACTTGGGTTTGTCATTTACACTATTGCAAAATGCTACCAAATCAACAGTGATCATTTTTTCTACTCATTTTGCATCACTTTGCAAGTGTGTAAATGACTCTGATTTAGGAAAGCAGAGGTTTAAGCCTGGACTCTCTAACGTATCATCGTCTTCCCCATGAGGATGAAATTCTGGAATTAAAAGCAAAAAATATTTCGGCTCTGAAGGACTTGATTTAAAGTGACAATATTGCCAACCCCAAGAATTCAAAAATCATTAGTCAGGTCCCCCCAATCACAAGATTGCCTTTAAAATCATGAGATTTTTTTTTAAATAATACATGATGGGTTCTTTTGTAATTACCTGCTGTTTACTGAGACAGTGGCAGGGGGTGTGGGGCAATGTGAGGGTTGGAGGTGAGGGTATTACAAAGATAAAGGGTGTGGGGCCCTGGGGGGTGGGAGATGAGGGTGTCACAGAGGCAGCGGGTGTGATCCCTGAGGGGAGTGTGCTGGGTGTGAGGCAGGGGACTCCTGAGTGCAGTGGAGGAAGCTGCTGCATCAAGTGCTAAGGATTTGAGAGAGGAACGACGCCCTCCTACTGTCCCCCCCACCAGCTCACCCGCTCCACAAAGCATGGGCATCCTCCTGCTGAGATGAAGCCACATGAGCCTAGATGGGCTCAGAGCGTGGTCCTTGGAGCTTTCCAAATGGCTCTGGCCCCAGCACAACCCACCAGCTCCTTGTCGCAATTCAGCTCCATACTCTGGGGGCAGGGAGCCCCTCCGCCCCCATTGGCCACAGTTTCATTGCACTCACAGGGGCATGGTCTACATTACATCCTTTCTGCTATAACAGAGGTGGGCAAACTACGGCCTCTTGGACTGTCCTGCCCGGCCCCTGAGTTCCTGGCCGGGGAGGCTAGCCCCCGGCCCCTCCCCCGCTGTCCCCTCTCTCCCACAGCTACGCCGCCACGCGGGCAGCGCTCTGGGTGGCGGGGCTGCGCGCTCATGCCGGGCAGCGCAGCAGTGTGTCTGGCTCCGGACATGAGGCGCGGCTCCAGACATGCTGCTCTGAGCGGCATGGTAAGGGGGCTGGGAGGCTGGATATGGGGCAGGGAGTTCTGGGGGGTAGTCAGGGGACAGGGAGCGGGGGGGTTGGATGGGTGGAGGGTTCTGAGGGGGGCAGTCAGGAAAGGGAAAGTGGGAGGGGCCAGATAGGGGGTGGGGGCCAGGCTGTTTGGGGGGCACAGCCTTCCCTACCCAGGCCTCCATACAGTTTCGCACCCCGATGTGGCCCTTGGGCCAAAAAGTTTGCCCACCCCTGTGCTATAAGAATTTATGCTGAGCCTTATCCTATAGCTTGCATTCTAGGGTGACAGTACTACTATGTGTATGGGTAAGGGACCACTATTAGGAGAATTATGGAACTGGGTCATTGGTTGGTAGCTCACAAGTCTGTCCCCTCTGTCTCCTTGTGGGGCTGGCTGCATGCAGGACTTCTGTTTGTGTAGAGGTCTTTGGAGTGAACACCCCATCCAGAGCATTTAGCAGCTAATGTTTACAAATGTGATTTCGTCTCTTAACAATTAGAGCTGAGTGAGTAATTCACAGCCAGGGAATTTTGTCTCTATTTCTGTTTGCAAAATTCCAGCAAACCATTAACAAACACAGTTGAGAATCTTGCGATGGGAAAACATTGAACGTTGTTTTGTTTATCCTATGGCTTGTTAGTCAACAAAGCATTACATTTGAGCCATGAGACCTAAAACTGAGTAGCTTCATAATAATAATATCTAGCTGTTATATAGTGTTTTTCATCAGTAAAGCTTAGCGTGCTTTACAAAGGACAGTAGTATCATTATCCACATTTTACGGATGGGGAAACTGAGGCACCGAGCAGTGAAGTGACTTGCCCAAGGTCACCCAGCAGGCCATAAGTCATATGATATGATAGAGCTTCTATCCTTGAGTAAATGAGCATAAGTTATGAAACTAGATGTCATCTGCAAACACTCTCAGAAAGTAAATGTAATGTTCACTCATTACAAAAACCTGCAAGTGTGCATGCTTAACATTTGCGTTCTCTGATCATTTATGCTATTCATTCTCAATTACACCAGTGTTTGTGGAAAGCAAACACAACAGGAGTGTGAACACAGCCAGTGTAAATGTGTTTAAAATTCAAACAAATATTAATGAAAATTGTTTTGCAGTATTTATCCAAGCCTAGTAACAAGTTACTTCCTAAGCTGGCTTGTCTTTTTATTTCAAATGAGCCTTGTTGAATTAGCCCTGTACACATGTGAAGATCCAAACACTCGCTTGGGATTGCTGCCTGTTACAACCTGATCTCAGTTAGCGTAAAGTAGGAGAATAGGAAAGCTATAGTATTCCTCTACCGAAGGATATTCAGCCATTGAGAATGCAGCCTTAAGTGAATATTCCCCCATGAGATATATATAACAAAAGAGAACGTCGATAATACCCAACTCCATCACCAGACGTGAGAGGTAATAGACGTTATAAATAATAATAACTATTATAATATAATAATAATAAAAACTAGTGTCCACAGTTCAATGCTTCTGAAGAAGTGAGGTTTTTTTACCCACAAAAGCTTATGCCCAATAAATCTGTTAGTCTTTAAGGTGCCACCGGACTCCTTGTTGTTTTTGTACAATAATACAGCTTCTTTGAGTTTATGAGGTGGCTTCCTGGTGTGGTGATAACATCCTAGCCAAGGATGTGAAAAGTCGAGCCTCTGTAGTGCCAGTGGATGTGGTAAAGATACTCTCCATTATTACAGCTCAGTGAACTCACCCT